TGTTGCGTAGTTCATAGTTAACCCACGCTACTCACTCCACTGCAGCGCCAGAGAATAGCGTCGACTGTAAGTAAAGCATCAAGCAGTTGGATCCCAACATGTTGGTCTATTGCTCACACTGGTATCAACAAAAGTTAAGAGTCAGACTAAGGACTGCCCCAGCAGAGCATAAGCTACAAATCGGCTGAATGGAAATTCATCAGAATTGACGTCATATCGATTGCTGATGAACACTTTGAACCAAACTGTGCAAATTTAGGCTATTTATCCTCCAGCTGGACAGACATCGGTGCTGTTCCAAAGAAAGGTGGGATTAAGATATCATCCCCCGCAGTTCTTTCATTTTTGGTTACTTCTAGGTGCCTATGCGTCATCGTTGCAAAGACAAAAACAACGTCTGGGGTCGTTTATCTGATGAATTTATCATGGCAATTTTATCGTGGTAGATTTTTACCTACACACGACCCAGGTGGTCAAATCCAGGTGTAGTTGACCACACATGTATCCTACCTCCACTTCATAAGCCAAATAAACACTAAATCTTAGACTACAACCGTCATCGTCTTGTTTGACCGTCAAAGACTTGTCTGGCGTGACATCGTAATTTTCTCCAACCACGTCTTTTGCTTCCTTCATCTATCCTAGCTATAAGCTAGATTTTATATTGCGCTGAACTTCCTATCCCTTCCTGTAAACCCCGGGATGTTTAGAGGTCGCAAGCCATGTTCAAAATAATGTTGCTTGTTTTGCCTCAGTTCCTTTGAGTTTGCCAACTCTTTGTGATGGAAATTTTGCCTGAGTCAAAACTAATCAAGTTTGGTTTATACGCATTATTGTCTATTTTTTTTCCTTTTAGACCAAGATCTTTATTCCCTTTTCACACCAATGCCGCATAAGCAATGAGTGAACAGGTTTTGGTAATTAGCAATGTCTTTTATGTGACCTGTTCTTGTACAGCCGAGCTATACTCAAAAGTATACTCTTACTGGTCACACAAAGGCCGTTTCTTCACTAAAATTCAGCGAGTGCGGTCAGTGGCTAGCGAGTTCCTGTAAGCCATCAACCTTCTTTTCATCCCCACCTTCCCACTTGCAGCTGCCGATAAACTATTAAAGATTTGGAGCGCTCAAGATGGGAAATTCGAAAAGACTATTACTGGCCACAAGCTGGTAAGTGTATATTTCCATAGACCCCTGAGTACTTTTTTGTCTCTGTAGGGCATATCGGACGTCGCTTGGTCCGCAGACTCCCGTTTCCTCTGCAGTGCCTCGGACGACAAGACCCTAAAGCTGTGGGACTTTGCAACAGGACAGTGCCTTAAAACTCTAAAGGGCCACAGCAACTATGTCTTTTGCTGCAATTTTAATCCCCAGTCAAATCTGATTGTTTCCGGTTCCGTATGTTACTTCGTTTCGCCCCCGTGTAATTTATTTTCTTCGTCAAGTTCGACGAGAGCGTCAAGTTGTGGGATGTGAAAACGGGCCGATGTATTCGGACCCTGCCTGCGCATTCTGACCCCGTTACGGCTGTATGTTTTGCACTAATCGAAGTAACCCCTTCCTTAAGGTCCATTTCAATAGGGATGGCGCTCTGATTGCATCCTGTAGCTACGACGGCTTATGGTAAGTTTGCCTTAACAATGCCTCCAATTATTTTTTTTCAGTCGAATCTGGGATACGGCTTCAGGTCAATGCTTAAAAACCCTAATTGGTGGGTGAATTCCGTCTTTTTTTCTTATGTATGTAGACGAGGATAATCCTCCAGTCTCCTTTGTAAAATTTTCCCCCAATGGAAAGTATATCCTTGCCGCTAATCTGGATAGGTAGCTTGACTTCTATGTGTCTTCAAACAGCTGCATCCCTTACATAGCACCCTAAAACTCTGGGACTACAGCAAGGGCCGCTGCCTAAAAATGTACAAAGGCCATGTAAACGAGAAGTACTGCATTTTCGCCAATTTCTCGGTAACCGGTGGAAAGGTCAGTTTTTCTTTTTCCAATTACTCCTTCTCATTTCGCCTAGTGGGTTGTGTCCGGTTCTGAAGATCACAAAATTTACATTTGGGATCTGCAGACAAAGGAAGTTGTACAGAAATTAGAAGGCCACACAGGTATGTCGATCATTTTGCCGCCTTTTTACCCTCCCTCCAGATGTTGTCCTATGTACAGCCTGTCATCCAAACCAGAACATGATTGCATCCGGGTCTCTTGAGGGTGACAAGACCATCCGACTTTGGACTAGTGAAACCTGAACTTGTCCCTACCCGCCACATGTTTATATGAGATATCGTATTTATGTAAAGTTTCCAAATAAAAACTAATTCATTTTTTTCGTAATTGTCCAAAAGTCAATTATTGAGTAGCGTCTCCATTTTTTCCGGCCTCAGACCAGCTCCATATGATCGTACTATTTTTGTTAATACTTTTGGCTACTGAAATGTACTGAGTAGAAACTACGTAGTACAAAGCTGGGGTGGTTGAGATTGCTGTTCCGTGCTTGCTTACGGCCGTCCACCAGTCGAGGACTAACAGCGGGCCGGCAGGATTAGCGGTTAGTCCTGTTGACCACCGATCAAATGCGGTGCAGGCGAAACAAAGATTGGCGTACTGTCACCTTCGACCGCAAATGTTCAAGGTCACGCGGGTGTATGTTCACCGATCACCCCTAATCTCCAAGGCCGGATAAAATGCGCAGTGTTTCATTTATTCATATAGTCTGTAGCCGCCGTAGTTGGTCGCTTAGCGATGCATAGTACATATTCACCGGTTCGACGGTTCCGATATACTTAATGTTACATAGTGTCTTCACTGTCAACTGGGTATTGACAAAGCCGAACTTTCGACGCCGATGATGGCTGCAGCGGGGAGCTGATGTAATGGCGGCAGACAGGGAACGGTTTCTGTTCACTTTTGTCTTCAATTCTCAGTCAAAACAAAGTAGTCCATTGGTTAGGTGCGGACGCTTAATTGTTACTACTGCCCCCTAGAATTTTCCGACATACCTGTGATTCAGGGATGGAAGAAATAGGACACATTTGGGTGGGAAGAATAGAATTAGAGTAGTCAATAGCGCAAATCTTGTGTTCTCGCACATCCTCTGTCTACGTATTTGGATGGAGGAGGGCACCCGCGGTATGTGAAGTTCACCAATCAGAATGGTGGCGATATTTTACTTCCAAAGCTGTCTAAGCAGGTGATCAGTTTTACTGACCGGTCCATATTGAAACTGACGCACTCAACTCTACCATGCCGCCATTTTCCGAATTTATAGAAACTGCACAGGCCTTTAAGATGTGTCGATATGAGTATAAGTAAGTTGACCAGAAAAACCACTCGTATGATTATAAATTAATAAGAACACCATTTCAAACAGACTGACTAGCTGTACACAGACTGGGCCGGTCCAAATCTGCTCACCACGGCATGTTTGGGGCTAAAGCCGCTAGTATGGTTGTAAGTTAATAATAAGGGCAATCAGAGTTCTGTCAACCCAGAATCGTTTGGTTCTTGTATATCGGCATTTTGAGTCGGTCGGTCGCCTGTAGGATATTATGAACGTCACACCGAGAGCATTGTGATAAAATCAATCAGCAGGAAATCACTAGTATAACCCGCACGCCAAATAGAAGATGCTTGTGATTGAGATGTGATTCTACAAGTGTTCTAATCGGACCGCGAATACCGTAAACCTAATCAATTTAGCCTACCGAAGCAAAATAAGTAGCAACTATAGTGCACTATCTTGTTTTCACATTCTCACCTGCTGCCCTTATAACAGGCGTAACACGTCGCAGCTTTGCGCTAAATTTCCGTCCGTCTGTTCTAATAACAGAACAAGGCACACGCACTTGCTCTAACTACCTCATATCCCAAGTGTTCACGCGAACGAGCGGTAGATAACGGTCAAAGGTCTTCTACTGCTCTATCTCTAATAGAAATGGTCGGCTTACACTGCCTCCAAAGTGGTGCTAACACTCCAATGCATTTAACCATTAATCGATAGCCAGTCTCTCAGCTCCTAGTATATGCGACATTTCCTTAAACGTCTGCCGTAACTCTGTCCCATTCTTCCGCCTCAAAAGTTTCCGGCAGTCTTGATCACTTCTTGTATTCTTTGTCAAAGGGTTGTTTTCAAAGTAGAACAAAAAACAATGCTTCACGCAAAGGCTTCGTTTTGATACACTGTTCTCGATTTCCCATTATAACATTTCAACCGATGGTCACAAAACAAATAAGACATTTTTTTAAATTACTATATAACACATGTGTTGCAATTATCAGTTATCCGAAAGCAGTGTCTGTGAGAATATTAAAAAATAAAAATAACACGAAGTATGCCCCCTACCTATAAATACTGGTGAATCGGGACGGGGTAGAAACTTGAATGTGATCTGATCGAAAAGGCGTGAATATGCTTTCGCCTGAAGCATCCTCCCAGCATACTGCTGAGCGAACAACAAAGTATGTAAAAAGGTATGCACTAACTTGAAGTAGAAAAATGAGCAGCAGAAAAACACACGAGTCCTGCTGCCTTCGACAACAGTAAACTACAATTTACCTACACCATCGATGGTTGAGTAGACCGTCCGTGCAAGCACGATCCCTCACTATGACAAATATCCCGATGTGGCCTGATTAATAGTCATTTGGGTGGTCCATGGAAAGGAGGGAGAGAGTTTGGGGAAGTTTATTTTATCAGCTTGGAGAAAGGAACTTCTGGGGGAAGAGTTGGCCATAAGACGTGTAAGCAAACAGCCAAGAGCTCAACAATAACAACAACAGCGTGCTGTTCCTACGAAGGAGGCTGAGACCAACTGGAGTAAAATTGTGTTCAGATGGTCGTAGGGGATATTGACCTGGTGGAATATGATATGTAGAAAATTATCGAGGCAGTACTGGCGTTGGTAGGAAGACGGCACATAAGTATTTTAAACTAAGGCGCGCGCCTCGGGCTTCAGATGAAAGAACCAGACAGGAACCACCGATGCCATACCTCCCTGCCATTGTGCATAGTTGTTAAATTTATTTGAAAGTGCGTTTGCTTTTTTTGACTTTGCTTCGATCAGACCTTTATAAATGATGCTGGAACAAGCGATGGACATAATAAAAGCGTTAATTTAAGGAGGATTTCTTAACCGCACAGAGTTGCACTCTGCACAGACAATATCACGCTGATTAAAGTTAGTGGACTCTAAGCGCCTTGAAGATCGGATAGGTACACTTCTCAGTTAACCAGTTGCAAGTATTTGTTTGTCCCCATCGAGTTTTTAAGAGGGGATGGTGGCTACAAGCTCTCATGTGGGCTATGCTGTCATAATAATTATAAGGCGGTGATCAATAGAGATATGTAAAATAAAGCAAGGGATACTACGCACAGAAATAGGAGCGGTCGTCTAAGAATTGAGGACATTACTAACTGCCTCGGCACTTCCTTACTGGTTGGGTTAAAATTAGAGTTAACTCTAGAGTTATGATTTGGCCTATGGTAAGGACACGATAATTGTTTCCCTT